TCAAGTCCACATCTCGTACAGCAATTAACCACTAAGAAGAATATATGCAGGGGCTGGTGAGATGGCTCAGTGGTCCATAGCATCTACTTAGAACAAGTTAAGCTAAGCAAAGCACAGGGACCACGGTTCAATCCCCCAGCACCACATGCCAGCCAGCCCCCACCCCCTGGTGGGCTGAGCTGGCCACACACACACACACAAAATAAATAAATAAATAAATATTTTTTTAAAATAAAATAAAATATAAGGTCTTATATATTCTTCTCTCCCTTTCATCTCAACCCTTTCTATACCTGATCTTTTCCAAGCCAGACCAGTGGTTGCCAGAGAAAAATTTACCCAAGATTTATTTGAATAATGGACAACTGGAGAAAGACAAAATCTTTGGAATTTTTTCCCATTCTCCAGTTGCTCCAGCAAGGGTTTATCTGTGGGGTAGCACTGTGGTATCTAATAAGAGCTGCCTTCTCTGCCTTCCAACTCTTCTTGCTCTCCAAGTTATTTGCAAAGCTGCTTATTAGGGAAATTCAGTTTCCCCCTCCCCAAAAAAAAACCTACCCCTGAAAATCCCCTCCAAGCACACAAGGGGAGAAAAGAGCATATTAATGGGAAAAGGCAGCATGCAGCAGGCACTGGCCAAGGGTGCCCACTGGTCCTGAGCACTGGCACCGAGGCATGTTGTTGTGGCTAGTGAGAGGGCAACCACACAAACCTGACCTTGAGCGCATCCTTTGTTCGGTAGTCTGGGAAGATGGTAGCACCAGGGGCTATCACTTCCCATGGCCTCCAGGTCTGGCTCTCCTTTTGGCCTATGCTAAGTGCTAGGCTACCTGTTAAATCTAGCTCTCTCCAAGAGCCCAGATGTGGGGGCCTGAAGAACTCACTGATGCACAGCTCCTGCCCATGGGGGACTCTCAGCCCCTACCCTTAGGAGTTAAGGAAGGGAACCCACACAGGAAGAGAGCTCAGTAAAGCATGTCATGAAGCCCAAGTATCACAGCTACATGCCAGGGCTATGCAGTGATCAGCTCCCAGGTAGGGACAGAGACTTGGAGAGGTCACAGGAGGGGGATGAGCAGGGCACAGCACAGCCCTCCGGCCAGCATGAAGGGGCCATGTTCTTCATTGGGTACAGGAACAGTGGCAGGGGGTGGGGAGTGGTAGGGGACAAAGGGACAGTGGCTACACTCAGAGCATACCCTGCCTCTGAGGGAGCAGAGTCCCAACCCCTGCACTTTTCTCTGACCACAGGCCAACACACATGATTGTGCTTTGGAAAGTGTAAAATCATAAAGCGGTGGGACCGTGGGGACACAGAGGTAAGATGTGGCTCATGCCCTGGCCCTGTCACTGGCCAACCCACTAAGTGGCTTTAAACAGATGCCCTAGCCCTATGTCTCCACCCAAAGCTGATCCTTGCTTGACAAATGAGGAGGGTGGTGACCCAGGCCCACCCTTGGGCGGAGGCAGCATATGCTGTGGCCCCAGCTCCAGCTCAGCCTGAGCCTGCTCTGCCTTCACCTCCCCTGGCTGGGGCCCTCGCCCTGAGACAGGAAGACAGCTAGTGCCATCCTGGGCTGTCTCTGTGGTCACAGGAGTGCACTTAGTGTGCATCCCACCACTGCTCTCTCAGCAAAACAGAAAGGAAGCTGACAAGCTGGCACTGTGGGCTGCAGCTGACAGAAAGCATCTGAACAGAGATAAATGTCAGGTCCTAGACTTGGGGTTAGAAATCCAACTGTGTGAGCGCAGGGAAGCTGGGCCTGGAAGCGGCTCCTGTAGCGGCCCTGTGGGGCCCTTCTGCAGCAGGTGACTCCGCAAGGGCACAGTGAACATTCGCCCTCTGGCTGTCCGAATGATTAGGTCTACAGTGAGTTCAGCAAGGCAGTGGCACAGCTCTGAGAGACCTCCGACCTCTGACCTCCGACCTCTGGGTGGGTACTGCCCTGTTGTCCCTATTATGCCACTGAAGAGGAAGCAGGAATGGTGCGATTTAGGTTACTTTCTCAAGATCTCCTGGCTGGTCAAGGATGCAGACTGGATCAACCTGGGCCCAGCCCCTGAGAGCTGGAAGAATGGAAGTGGGACAGAGACTTCTGCTGTGTGCTGGAGAGAGCAACACCCCGGAGCTCCTCTGTGCCCTTCTAAGACCGCACTCCAGGTCTTCACCAGAGGCAGCGTGGAGCACGCTGAGAAGAGGGCACAGACCCATCGCAGAATGGAAATGCCCTGTCCTTCCCACACTCCGTCTTCCCAGGTTCCCAGCCTACGGCTTGGGGAGTCGCTGCTCCTGTGTCACTCAACTTAACATCCCTAACTTCCAGTCATCTTCCCAGCTGTAGCACCCCAAGCCCTTCCTTCTCCCCACCATCCCAGTCAAACCTGCGCTTCTCTCCATCCCAACTTCTCCCTTCTAGGGAGCTGGCATCCCTCATCCTGATGCCTGTTAGACCTTTGACAAAGGCTCTTTTTATTCAGTGGTTCAGTCCAGTCACTGACTGACCACACAACAGTCAGTGAGTCACTGCCCTGCACTGCCCTGAGCCCTTTTTTTAATTTTAATTTTTTAATAGATTGCAAATTGAAAATAAATTATTTACAAACATAAATGAATATAACAATAAAAATTGCCCAAAATAAAAATGAAGAAAGAACTTACAGATCAGTCATTATAGTTCACTGTGTCAAAACCAAGAAACTTTATATAACTAGAATTCTCAAAGTAGAAAGGAGTAGGCAATAAGTATTTAAGGATTTAAAATTTCTGTTAAGATGATATATAGTTACATTCTCTTAATGAATAGAGGGATTTGTTCTAATAGTGTTTGTAAATAGGACATCATATCCACATCTTGTACAGCAATTAACCACTAGGAAGAATGTATGCAATGTGTTAATTATTGAAACTGTCCTACCAATTTGGTTTGAAACTGTCTCATTGCT